GAGGGTGAGTGGTGAGCTTGAGTGATGAGAGTGAGTGGTGAGTGAGGTGAGTGTGAGGGTGAGTGGTGAGCGTGAGTGGTGAGGGTGAGTGGTGAGGGTGAGTGGTGATTAGTGTGTAGTGAGGGTGAGTGGTGAGCATGAGTGGTGAGCGTGAGTGTGAGTGGTGAGGGTGAGTGGTAAGTGTGAGTCGTGAGTGGTGAGTGATGAGGTTGAGTAGTGAGAGTGAGAGGTGAGGGTGAGTGTGAGTGGTGAGAGGTGAGTGGTGAGTGGTGAGGGTGATTAGTGAGTAGTGAGGGGTGAGTGGTGAAGGGTGAGTGGTGAGCGTGAGTGGTGAGGTGAGTGGGGAGCGTGAGTGGTGAGCGTGAGTGGCTAGTGGGAGGGGTGAGGAAGAGTGATGAGGAAGAGTGGTGGTGGTGAGGGTGAGTGTTGAGGGTGAGTAGTGGTGGTGATGGGAGGATGATTGTGAGCGTGAGTGGTGAGGGTGATGTGAGGTGAGTGGTAAGGGTGAGTGGTGAGGGGAGTGGTGAGGAGAGGGTGAGTGGTGTGGGTGAGTGGTGTGGGTGAGTGGTGAGGGTGAGTGGTGGCATGAGTGGTGAGGGAGGAGGGGAGTGGTGAGCGTGAGTGGTGAGAGTGAGTGGTGAGGGTGAGTGGTGAGCGTGAGTGGTTAGGGAGAGGGGTGAGTGGTGAGTGGTGAGGTTGAGTCGTGAGGATGAGGGGTGAGCGTGAGTGGTGAATGGTGAGAGTGAGTGGTGAGTGTGAGTGGTGTGGGTGAGTGGTGAGGTTGTGGTGAGCGTGAGGTGTGAGTGGTGAGCTTGAGTGATGAGAGTGAGTGGTGAGTGGTGAGGAGAGGGGTGAGTGGTGAGGGGTGAGGGTGAGGTGAGTGGTGTGAGTGGTGAGCGTGAGTGGTGAGAGTGGTGAGGTGAATGGTGAGTAGTGAGGATGCTTGGTGATGGTGAGTGGTGAGCATGAGTGGTGAGTGGTGAGGGAGAGGGGTGAATGGTGAGCGTGAGTGGTGAGTAGTGAGGGTGAGGTAGAGGGGTGAGTGTGAGCTTGAGTGATGAGAGTGAGTGGTGAGTGGTGAGGGTGAGTGGTGAGGGTGAGTGGTGAGCGTGAGTGGTGAGGGGTGAGTGGTGAGGTGAGTGGTTAGTGTTAGTGAGGGTGAGTGGTGAGCATGAGTGGTGAGCATGAGTGGTTAGTGTGAGGGGTGAGAAGAGTAGTGAGGAAGTGGTGAGGGTGAGTGGTGAGTGAGTAGTGAGTGATGATGGTGAGGGAGTGAGGGTGAGGGGGAGTGTGAGTGACAGGGTGAGTGGTGAGGTGAGTGGTGGAGGGAAGGGGTGAGTGGTGAGGGTGAATGGTGAGCGTGGTGGTGAATAGTGAGGGTGAGGGAGGGGTGAGTGGTGAGCATGAGTGGTGAGGGTGAGTGGTGAGGGTGAGTGGTGATTAGTGTGGATGGGTGAGTGGTGAGCATGAGTGGTAGCATGATGGTTAGTGGTGAGGGGTGAGGAGAGTAGTGATGATGAGTGGTGAGGGTGAGTGGTGAGGGTGAGGGGTGAGTGGTGAGGGAGAGGGGTGAGTGGTGAGGGTGAGTGGTGAGGGTGAGTGGTGAGGGTGAGTAGTGAGGGTGAGTGGTGAGCGTGAGTGATGAGGGAGTGGGGGAGTGGTGAGGGTGAGTGGTGTGGATGATGGTGAGTGGTGAAGGTGAGTGGTGAGCGTGAGTGATGAGGGAGAGGTGAGTGGTGTGAGTGATGATGGTGAGTGGTGAGGGTGAGTGAGGGAAGTCGTGAGGGTGTATATATTTTGCCTATGATGACAGCAGTACGTGCTGACGTTTGTATGTTAAATGTGAAAGCTAAATGTGTGAATGTGTGTCTGGTGGAAATGTTAAGCAAACTTGGCGACATGCAGTTTTTAAAACGGGAATAGGGCGATTCTAAAGTAATCTACAACCTTCGATGATTCCTTTGCGCGATTCAAAGAATCGATTCCTGGCGTGTTGGGGGTTTACATTTTTAATTACAGAGTTTTATTTCCATTGATATGTTATGTTTTAAAGTTTTCAGTTTTTAATTATATTTTTGCCGCAGGTCAACGCCGGATATTTCCCGTTCGTAGCAGTTTATATCAACTCTATAACCAACTTATAGTAAACAGAATCGGCCGATTCTAAAGGAGTCTACAACGTTCGATTCCTTTGCGCGATTCAGAGAATCGATTCTTGGCTCTGTCGGGTTTAAAATTTTAATTACACAGTTGTATTTTCATTGGTATGTTATGTTTTAAAGTTTTCAGAAGATTTTAAATGTGTTTCCTCCCGGGCAACGCTGGGTATATCGAGTTTATAGCACAAAGTATTCGCCTGACACGTGTGGGGTGTCGAGGCCTAGTACCATGCAGAGCCTCCGGCCTTGCCTAGATTGCCCACGCGGCCGAGGCTGGGTGCTGGGACCGCTCCCCCCCCCCCCCCCCCCCGCGCTAGAATAATACTGTCTAATCACTATAATTGCATTATCTACCGACCCTATAATAGTAATTGCACACATTGGGGTGGGGGGGGGAGTGAAGAGGACGTGAAACTTTGATGAATTTACCTCAGCGTCGCGTGTTAATGCGTGTGCATATTTTAACGGGAATTAAAATGGCATCCACCCAACAGCGATGGCGTTGGTGCCCGTTGCCAGGGGCAACCGCCCATTGCCAGGGGCCAACTGCCCGTTGCCAGGGGCAACCGCCTTCGCGCATGCGCAACGGCGTGCTTCGTCACGTGCCGGTCGGCAATAGTAAAAAAATAAATAAAGATTAATCGCACTAAATCGATAATCGGTCCGATTTAAAGTTTGAGACGAAAAATCGGAAATGCCTATGTTCACCGCGGGGCCGGGGGCGTGCCCAACGGCAAAATCGAACCCCACGGTCCGAGAGCCAAATCCCCCGCAAGCGAGCGTACGCAGACAGACGGACGGACGGACGGACACAAACATGAATTATATAGGTTAGATGATGGTTGATGAAGATGATGATGGCAAAGTTACTTATTTCACCAGCTACTGAACATTAACCCCCTGTGTGTTTGTAACAAAGCCCTAGGTCCTCTGCCACTCCATCGCAAATCGCACATTGGCACAGTTGGTGGTGGTGGTGGCGGAGCATCGCGTGACGCCGGCGCCGTGAGTCTCAGCCCCACAGGGCGCTGGCGGGCCGGGCGGAGGAGCCGCGTGAGGAAGCGTGTCATCCCCTGTACCCGGCATGGTGAGCATGCAAGCAGCAGTCCTGTGTTGGCAAGTGCTGTTAGCGAGCACCATGAAGACCGGCACGGTGCATCAGGGCTGTGGCCAGCACCACGCCAGATTTCTTTCTTGAAGGTGCGTATGTTTACACACCGCATCAGGTACTTGTTTTACTCCGAGTCAGGTTGGACCCACCAACCCGGTTGTCTGCGTGAAGAGCGGTAGTGCAGTGGTTAGGGCGCTGAGCTACAAACCTGGGAGCCCAAGTTTGATTGCTGGCCACGGCTAACGTTTAATTTTGGTGGCGATTGATATGAACTGGGCTTAGACCTCCCCTGTGTGTGTGTCACAATCAGCACTCCGGGCGTGGTGCTGTTCACCCACCCCTTCGTGTGCTGTCTCAGCCTTCATAGGTGTTGCTCACTAAAGGCACTTGCCTCAACAGTTTGTTAAAGCTATAAAGGGGATCTTTGTTTTGTAGGTGTCTGTATGTGGGGAGTGGTGGCATAGCGGTTACTGCTCTGGGCTACGAACCCGTTGACCCGATTTTGGATCCCACCCATGGCTAATCGCAGTGACGATTATTTGATTTGGTCTTGGGCCTCCCTAGGTCGACTCAACTTGAAAAAGAGTACATGCGTGCTGTGTAAACATCGCCACTAGGGATTGAAAGGTCGAACGTTGTTCTGGCCACCCGCTTCGTAGCGTGCTTGCTAACACACTTTCCATAAAGTTTCGTGAGAGCTATATAAGGGTTTTTTGTATGTGTACAGACATGCTTCTGGATAAGTGTCTATGTCAGAGACAATGATCTATAATAATGTTGTTACATCTTACAGCTGGAATTGATCAATTACATGGAGAACCACATTACAGCCAAGTGATGGTTTCGATTTAAAGCTTTCGTGACTGCAGGGATTCATCTTCTTGTTTCTTTCGGTAAAGTCACGTAGAAGGGAAGTAATAAAATAATAAAATAAAACATAATAAAACAATTCTCACGACGTTTCGGCTACAACGCAAGCAGCCGTCTTCAGGCTGCTTGCGTCGTGAGAATTGTTTTATTATGTTTATTTTTATTATTTTATTACTTCCCTTCTACGTGACTTTACCGAAAGAAACAAGAAGAAGTGATGGTTTATTTTGTGCAGTCCATGACGACCAGGCTGAGACCATTAACTCGCTAGACTTGAGAATCCGCTTTGATCACAGGCGGCTGCCTGGATTTAAACCGAGGTACTCCGTGGTGCCAGTTTAGTGCTATGACCACGAGGTCACTGGGCCGCGTCTAAACATGCCCCCCCCCCACGTTATATACATTAGCAGCAACGTGTTTAGTGAGCAGCAGCATTCTTTGAATATTTTGCCAAAGGAAATGGATTGTGGAGCAGTGGCACAGTCCTGCAATTGCTTTATCTTTAATCCACCACACATCTTGCCGCACGATTGTGGAGCACCCGTTATCACTGCTTGGTGGACAGAGGCAGGGGGATTTAAGATACTCAATTAGTTTCAACTGTTGTGCAAGATGGTAGAGCAGTGGGGCAGTGGAGCAGTGGGGCAGTGAAGCAGAGGAGCCGTGGGGCAATGGGACAGTGGAGCAGTGGCACAGTGGAACAGTGGCTTCATGGGGGAGAGGAGGGGCGGATTTGTCGTTAAGAAGGCAAATCGCCTGAATTTTTTCCCACCACCGCTTGTATGTGCTCTGAAGGAGGACCATTCCCCAAAACGTCTCATTATGTGTCCTTGTACCCGCCGCACACACAGCCGGGACACCGCACGCACAAGCCAAGGCACATTTAACCAACCCAAGAAGCACTCACAAGCAATGCAACGTTATGCTGTGTCCTCAAAGGTTGATTTCACAAAGTTTATGGTAACAACAATAGTATGTATCCTAATTCTTAACAGGGTGGCCTTGAAACTTGGCACGTGTAGGTTTTGTTCATTGTCTGCACGTGACCCCTCCAGCTCTCTCACCCTGGGTCAGCTGCCCCTTCCATGTCCTGGAAACCATGACAAGGTCATCCCATGAGGACTGCCTGGATGAAAACCAGCATGGAAGGGGCCCAGTGTGGGGCTGGCTATGCTATTGGGATAGTCCCGTGTGTGTGTGTGATGTGAGGTGTCCTGGTAGCAGTCATTCTCTCCTGTAGTCCTGGCATCTGCTGCTCAGCTTCATTCCCCAGCTGTGGTCCCAGTGGCACCCTCTCTCTGGGGAACCGTGTGAAGTGTGTCATGGGGTGGGTAGGTAGTGTGGTGATAGCGGTCATGGTTGGCACCAATCCACGACTACCCCTACTGGGCGGTGGACCTGCCGCCACAAAGCAGCACGCGGCGGAGGAGTGAGGTGATTGCTCTCGCCATGTGAACGAAGCCTCCTCGCTTCCTCTTCTTTTCGTGCATCACCACCTCCTGCACCTCCTCCATCTTCTCCTCCTCTGTCTCATCCTCCTCCATCTCCTTCTCTTCATCCTCCACCACCACCATCTTCTCCTCTACCTTCTGCTCCTCTTCCTGCTCCACCTTTGTCTTCTTCTCCATCTTCTCCCCCTTCCCGACCACCATCTCCTCCTTCATCATCTCCTCATCTTCCTGCAGCACCATCTCCTCCACCACCATCTTCTCTTCCTCCTCCACCACCATTGTTTCCCCTTTGTCCATCTCCATCATCTCCCCCACCACGACCATCTGTTCATCTTTTGTTTTGTCCTGGTCCTCCACCTCCGTATTGTCTTTATCCTCTCCCTCCGTGTTCTCCTCCATTGTCTCCATCACAATATCGTCCTCCTTTGTCTTCTCTTCCTCTGATTTCTCCTCCTCTGCCTCTTCCTTCACCTCCTCCTTCACCTCTTCCTTTGTCTCCACCATAACCTCTGTCTTTGCTTCAAAGGCCTGGATGAGTGAGGAGGAGGGCTGCGCTGGTTCAGATCTGTGAAGAGACAAAACACGGCACCGTTCCACCTTCCTGCTACGGCAGACATCCATCATCCGTGTGTGGAATGTGTGGCGGATTAATCTGAGCTTAATATATACAGCAATAACGACATGGCCAGTGAGTATGCTTGGTATTGGCGCTGTCATTCTCATAGCTCAAGGCTATCCTTGAGATAGGTGCAGCTGTGTCTCACACAGACTGCTGTAGTTTCAAAGTACTAGGTGGTGTTGCTGTGTAAATTTAGCTGAATAATTTGTCGTGAAATTATTGTTTACATGTATATTCTAATTAATCCCTTGAACATAATGGCCTACACATTTAAAATGATATCGGTGGAGATTTTGAAAGTCCGCTGTGATGGAATGGATGTGTATCTTTGTGGTTAATGCGGTGGCAGTAATAGCAAGGGCGAGAAGCAAGATCTGAACTGTAAGTGGTGAATGATGAGTACGTTACCTTTTGGCCGCGTCAACCCATCCACGATTTCGGAAAGATATCTGACAGTGATTTGTGGTAGACAGAGCCGCCTCCCTTGACGTCGAAGGCATCTCAGAGTGCATTGCACGCGATGAGCCACTCACATCTTGCATCTCTCGTCTCAATGCATTTGAAATTGGACACCCCTCCCAGTGGTAGCTGTCTCTGTGCATTACAAGGCAACTTGGAAGCTGGCCTGGAGACAGGCCTTAGTCTGCCAAAATATCACGGTGGATGGAGGGTTACATGGTGAAGATATGGCCGCATCATTATGTGATCTAACCCAGACACTAATTATGGAAAATATATCTGTCCACAGTATAGCCGAATGTACGCGTTGGGCTTGCTGTGTCTGTGTATTTTGTAAACGTGGCAGGGCTGGAGCATCTGGGCCTCACAGTAAGAGAGACGTGGGTTTGATACAGGTAGGAACAATGTTCCACACTGCCCACCAGGGATTCATTGTCTGTCTGTCTGTCGTGCATAAATAAATATATAATACACACAGCTCTTTGATTGGTGGAGACCTTACAAACAGCTCTTTGATTGGTGGAGACCTACTGCCGGGTACGGAGAGGGGAGGTGCCTAAGGGAGGAGGGTTAGGGGAGCGGCCTAAGGAAGGGGGGAGTCAGGAGAGGGGCCTGAGGGGGGGGGGAAATCAGAGGAGGAGCCTAAGGGGGGGGGGCGTCAGGGGAGGGGCCTAAGGATATGGCGGGTGGTCAGGGGACGGGCCTAAGGGAAGGGGGGTCAGGGGAGTGGCCTAAGGGAGGGGGGTAAAGGGAGGGGCCGATATTTAAGGGGGCTGGCTACCTGGCTGGCTGCCAGCGTGGTGGAGATGTAGCTCAGTGGGAGAGCGCACGCTTTGTATGTGCGAGGCCCTGGGTTCAATCCCCGGCATCTCCATGTCGGAAGCTTTTATTTAATTATTTTTTCAAACAAAGTTTGAATTACGAAATCAATTGGCTGTGTCAATGTCCCTGTAATAGGGGTGCACATGAACTCTCGTAAATATTACCCTATATGAACGATACCTTCGGATGAATTTGTGTTGATTTCAGGAACTTGCTATTTGTATAACCAGCGATGCACACAGTGATCAAATGGTTAACTTTAACATTTAGAGATGAAAGCAAGTGCTTAAAAGTATCCAGAACACGTTTATTTCCGAATTAAATATTTCCAATAATAATTAATTAGGACAGCATTATAGTATCCATCCACATGTATTCTTGTTATTTATTTTGTTTTAAAGAAATACATTTTGCTTGGACTCTGTGCAGACTCGATGTATCCAGGGCCCAAGGCCAACAGGAGAGTGAGTGGGGTGACGAGGGAGAGGAAGAAGCTGATGACGAAGTTTCACCCCGTACCGAGGTGGATCTGCGCTCCGGTAGAACCAGAATGGAGATGTCGCTCAGTGGTAGAGCGCACGCTTCGCATGTGTGAGGCCCCAGGGTCAATCCCCGGCATCTCCATGTTGGATCTGGAATCCTTGTTGGAAGTTTTTAAAAAATTTATGTTTCCAACAAAGGTTGATTTTCAAAATCAATTGGCTGTGTCCATGTCCCTGTAATCGGGGTGCACATGAACTCTCGTAAACACATTCCTGCGGAGGGAGCTGGAAGGAACGTTGGTTTTCTCGGTCAATGGCCAGGCAGCGTGGTGTATTTCGCAAATATGGCCAACTGTGAGGTTGGCCACAAGCCGGCGTGAGTCGGTTAAACGTTGAGTTTTATAAAGGTGTAAAGTAGTAACTCGGCAGGAGACGACTTCACGGGTAGCACACTCTTTATTTTCACCAACTTGTAGTTACACGGATGACTAACACCCTACTTCGTTACACGGGTGACCAACACCCACTTAGCTACACGGGTGACGGACACCCACTCAGCTCCAACTTCGTTACACGGGTGACCAACACCCACTTAGCTACACGGGTGACCAACACCCCCTCAGCTACACGGGTGACCAACACCCACTCAGCTACACTTCGTTACACGGGTGACCAACACCCACTTAGCTACACGGGTGACCAACCCTCAGCTACAACGGGTGACTCAGCTACACGGTGACCACACCCACTCAGCTACACGGGTGACCAACACCCACTCAGCTACACGGGGGACTAACACCCACTCAGCTGTACTGACACGGGCTCTTACGCCCTGTAGCCTTCCGGGACACACCCAGCCGGGGTGCCCGTCTCGGCTCTGGGTACCACCGTCCCGACCCACACGGGCGTCGGACTACGGTCCCCCCAGTCTCGGCTTCGAGCCACACAGGGCCCCTACCTCCTCCACCCCGTCTTCGGTCTTCAACTGGTTAACACTGACCACGAGTGCTCTCGCGCGTCCCCCTTTATACCCCTCCTGCGGACGTCGCTGAGAGTACTCACTTATCTGACCAATCACTGCGCACTCGCTACGATCCTCTTTTCCCAGCTTGTGTGAGCGCGCCTCACCACCGGCGCGCGCGTCCATGCCACGCCCACATCGCGTGCCCAACCCCGCGCCCCGTGATCCATCACTGCCGGCGCACGTCAATACCACCACTACATCACCCCCTACCACATAGCTCGCAGCCGACCCGGCTGCTAATAAAACATACAACACCCCTTCACCCCCACGTGTGCCCCGTAACATAACACCAACCCTAACAACACAACATGAACACCGCAATCCGCAAAACCCAGCAACCGCCACACCCGCAACAAGAACAACATGCACAATCCGGCGAATGGCAACGATACTGTGTATGCGGAAAGAGTAACAATAAAAAAATTTCTTTAATCATTTTCTCTTCTTTTCTCTCCGACTCATGCAGCGTCCCAATGTCCGAGCGTCCCTTGAACGGGACATTACCCCGGCAGAGGGGGAAGCCGGCAACGAAGTCGGGCTTTAACAAAAAAAGAAATTTTTTTTTTTTCATGAAAAGTGTTGCGTCCTTGACCGAGTCCGCCTTGCCGGACCGTCGTACGGCACAGGACGCAGTTGGCCATCCGGCGGCGCCGGCAGTTCAGGAAGGCATGGGCCAGGCATCGGGGCTCCGTGCGAGCCGCGGGGTTCCGGTTCCCGACGGTCAACAGCCGTCAGGTCCGAGACACCTGGGGGTGGGTCAGGTGGAGACACGTGAGGATCAGCCTGCGACACATCCCTCCCCGAGTCGACGGTCACATCACACGCTCGGTCGTCACGGCACAACCCGGGGTCACGCGGCGCCGCGTAGGGTTTCAGTCGGGAGGAGTGCACGTACCAACGGCGTTTTCCCCATTTAATCTGTATACTCTGGGGTCGTGCAACCCGCACAATTTCCACCGGTCCCCTCCATGGTCTCAACAGTTTGGGGGACGTAGCCAACGGTGCGTGTGGACAATGCAGCCAGGCCTTATCGCCCGGTTCCCAATTGTGCGTATGCACCTTCCGTTCATGCAATCGCTCGTTCGCGATCTGCCGAGAGCGTGAATTCAATCTCGCAGCCTCTCGCGCCTCAGCCAATTTGGCGATGTTAAACTTAATGTGGTCTGCCAATTTTGATTTCGCACGTGGCTGTGAAATCCCCAGTTGGACGTCCATGGCCGGATCAGCCTCCCGCCCATACATCAGAAAAAATGGAGAAAACCCCGTCGCCGCATGGGGTGCCATCCGATAGGCCGCTAGTACCCCCGGTACCTGTAAGTCCCAATCCACCTGGTCGTCGCATACCTGTTGGCACAGCATAGACGTAATCGTCCTGTTCAGACGTTCAACCATACCGTCAGTCTGCGGGTGGTACGGGGAGGTACGTACTTTCTTTGTACCCAACAGGTCGCACACCTCGCGCAACAAAACACTCGAAAAGTTTTTCCCTTGATCCGTCAGCAAGCGTTCGGGGGCGCCTTTGTCCAAAACGTAACCTTGGACAAAGGCGTCCGCCACTGCCGCAGCCGACTGGTTGGCGAGTGGCCACGCCATGGGCCAGCGGGTGAAGTACTCTACGCCAACCAGCAGGAACTTATTTCCCCGAGGTGTAGTGGGAAAGGGCCCCAAGATGTCTAGCGCGACCAATTCGTTCGTGCGCGAAACTTGAATGGATTGAAGCGGTGGATTAGCCGCTATTTGTGGCGGTTTTCTTTTAGCGCACCCTACACACCCCTTAAGAATGTTCGCCACGTCACTGCCCATCCCAGGCCAATAGTAGTCTCGCTGAATGAGGGCGAGCGTTTTATGAAACCCCAGATGCATGAGTCGTTCATGGGCAGCCAGGACGACCTTACCCCGTACAGCAACCGGCACCACAAGCATGTGACGCCGGGACATGGAGTCCCACTTCATCAAGAGGCCCTGTCTGCACACCCAGGAACCGACCCGCGTTTCCCCGCCCTCGGGAACGTTAACCTTCCGACGTAGCGCGAGTAGGGAGCTGTCGGCCATTTGCAGACGGCCCCACTCGATGAGAGGCAATGCTAACAGCGAGTCCCTCCCCGTGGGGGCGTCGACCCCCGTAGTATCCGTGGCGGCTAGCACCACTTCCGCGGGGA